GAAAAAACAACTAAGAGTTGGAAGTTATAGCCAGTGGGAATGGGTGAAGCAGGACAAAGAACTGCTCCTTCTCATTATGAACCTTTTAGAACTATTTAATTTTAACGTTATGCTATACAAATTAATAAAAATGAAAATTGTGAATTTTTAACACATTTCTGTAACTTGGTTAGGTAGGTGATTTACCGAAGCTATGGTTAATTCTAGGAAAATACTATATGCCATTGGCCGATATAGGTAACTGGATCACCTTTGGTTTTCCATGTGTAGCCAGGGCATACCAATGGATTTGTTGGTACTGTATAGATGTTGATACTAGATTGCCAGTTTTGAAGGAATAGTGTATGTCTTGGGCAGGGTAACATAGATAATAAACAAGAACTCACATAGAGGACATCTATATGGAAGGTACATTAGCCATATGTCTCTGTTAGGAGTACTGCCAAGAATATTCTCTTCACCGAAGAAGGGTATTCATGAGTATTTATATTTAGTTGTTTACTGGCTATGTTATTTCTTTTTGACAGATACTGGGTCGTCAGGATGGAGTTTTGCAAGACTGGGTCATTGATGACTGCATTGGTAACTGGTGGAGACCAAATTTTGAACCTCCTCAGGTCAGTATTCAGTTATCTTTTTTGGGCATTTGGGAAAAGAAAGCTGATTTAATTTCAGCCACTTTTGAAAAGATCAAAATAAAATTTGACTTGAAATTTCCTTTTCTTCCCTCATTAATTTAGATTACAAAATTAAAAAGCCAAACACTTTCTATTTTAAAGCAAAATTTCAAATACATACAAAAGTAGAGAGAAAAGTTAAAGTAAATCAATCCCATCAGCTGTCATCCACCTTTAACAGTTAGCAACTCATGGTCAAACTTGTTTCATCAACCCTCTCCTTCCACTGCCCCATTCCCTTGCCTCACAATGAGTTATTTTGAAGCAAATCCTAGATATCATTTCAATTACAATTTGTTTGAATTAGGGTAGTCTCTCAAGTCTCTTTTACATCTACAGGTTGGTTACCTTTTTTCCCTTGTAATTTATTTGTTAATGAAAACAGGCTAAAGTCTTCAGTACTTCCACTGTTGATTGCGTCCCTGTATTGTCATTGAACATGTAGCTCTTTCTCCTTCGTGTCTTGGAAGTTAATAGACCTAGAGAGTGAATTCCAGCTCAGTTAATTTGGGGGCGGGGCGACAAGGAACAAGGCTTGTCATAGGTGGTATATTTGTTATTTATCTGTTGCTTCATAACAAATTACCTCAAAATTTAGCTGCCTAAAACAACAGACATTTATTGTCTCAGTTTCTCAGGGTCAGGCATCCGGGAGCTGCTCAGCTAGACGATTCTGACTCACAGTCTCTCATGAAGTTATAGTCATTTGTCAGCTGGGACTACATCATAAGGCTGAACTGGGGCTGAAGGATCTGATCCCAAGCTCACACATGTGTTTGTTAGCAGACTTTTCAATTCCTCCTGGGCTCTTGAACTGAAAGCTTCAGCTTTTGCTGACTGTTGACCCAAGGGGTGGGGAACCTGCGGCCTTGGAGCCACATGTAGCCTTCTAGATCCTTGAGTGCGGCCTTTTGACTGAATCCAAATTTTACAGAACAAATCCTTGCAATAGTTGTTCTGTAAAATTTGGATTTGGTTGAGATGCTGCGCTTGGGGATCTGGAGGGCCACATGTGGCCTTGAGGCTGCAGGTTCTGGCAGACAGCCAGTTAAAACCTAATCTTGGCATTGGCATACCATCACTTCCGCTATGTGCTGTTGGACACGCGAGCCCACCCTAGTACATTGTGGGAAGGGACTATACAAAGATGTGACCATCAGGAGACAGGGATCGTTGGGGTCATTGTAGAGGCAGTGTACTGTCGGTGGTTCCATCAGGAATTTGATGGTATTTAGTTGTTTCTTTTTGTAATGTTAGCTCATTGGTAACAATTTCTTGGATCTATGAATTCATTAGGGTTATGATCCTTATATAAAGAGAGACGTCTGTTATCAACTACTTGGTTACCCTGAGGTATATATTTTCTAGAAGAATAGTTGCTGCTTTTCCTTTACTTAGCAGTTTTCAGGAGAATGAGTTAATTCCTTAGTATCCGCCAAAGACTTGGCTTTATTCAAAAGAGAGAATAAGACAGACTTGGGTGCAGATAATTTGTTTGGGAGGTAATGCCAGGAAGCAGCAGAGTGAAGGGAGAGGAAGACCACCTGTAGGCCACTGGATTAATGCTGCTAAGGACTGTCAGGAACCATGTGGAATGCACCTCAGAACTGTCCATCAGAAAATCAGAAGGCCAGGGACTCCTATCCTCCCTTGGGTGAGGGTTGCATTAACTCCCTTGCACTTGCATGTTGAGTCTGAGCACTTGTTGAGAGACTTTCCAGGCTTTGGAAAAGCTTGAAGGCTGAAAAGCAGAGTGGAACAATGGCAACAAACTGGGAACTTTTTGACACTTTTCAAACACAACCACCCTGAAATCTGAGGTGGGATGAGGTGCTGTGGTGTGGGCCACGTGAAAAAAACAGCTGTTTCAGTGACCTTCAGGGTGTCAGTATGACCTTGTGGATTTAACTATATACAGTGTCTTTTAAACCATTGTAATAATTGATAATGTTACTGGTGTTCGAATTTTCCTATTTTGGCCAATGGGAGAACTTAAAGTTCGATCCTTAATTCTTCTGACAAATCAAAAGCCATAGCTTCTTTGCATAACAAGATGTTCCAGGTCAGGTGTTGCCAAGCAGAAGATCATTGTGTCCTCTTCTGACTCTCTTATGTAGCAGAGGGATAGAAAGATGAGGGGCTATGGAAGCTGGCGCTAGTGTTCACTACCTGAGAATTTCCATGAACACATCTGTGTCTTGGCTTTAAGAAAGTACAATTTCATATAGAAATAGTGAAGTTCTTGGTGCAAAGATACATAGAGCAATTATTCTAAACTTTTTCTGGTTTCTTGAACATTCCTTGATGTAACTGGAAAATGCCCAGTAATAAATCAAAAGTTTTTCAGACTACTTTTCTGAATACCTTCATTCATCTTCCCGACCACAGACCTAGGACAATTCCCTTAGTTCACTGAAACTAGGGTTGGCTCTGGTGGTATAAGGTATAATAGAAGGGTTGTGTGTTTATTTAGTAAACCCATTCTAGAGTATTGGTTAGGTGTCTATGGGGAAAGAACTCAACATCATTTCTGTGTCTCAGTCTTTTTGTATAAAGTGCAGTTAGCTTAAACATTAAGACCAGGATTGGAGAAGGAGGCTTAAAAAGACAGGAATATGTAGCCTTGAGTAGAAGAAAATTGGGGTAGTGTCATTTACTTTGGTCATGGTTTGGGAACTTTCGTTGAATGTGAACCACAGGTCTCTTAGCCTGTGTTGTTCAAGCCACTTCTCACTTGTCTCTGATGCTGGTAATATGTCTGATTTTTCATGATAGTGTAGAGGACCTCCATCGCCTGGGACAATTGCCTCAATTCATTGTACTCTAGGGATGGCTCTGGTATATAATTATGCTAACTTGAATGCTGGTTAGATGCCAATGAGTAACGTAGTGGGAAATAACATAGGCTTTTATAATTAGATAAGAGTTGAAAAGATACAGTTGAATTTTGGCTTCACTCCTTAGCTGAGTAATCTTGGGAGAGATACTTAGCCTCTCTTAGCATAAGTTCCTATGTAAATTGGGGATGGTGATAATACCTCCTTTTGGCAGCCTCTACTTTTATCCCACTTTCCCCTTATATCTGTTTTCAGCACTTTTTAATTTTCTGGCCCTCAAATACAACTACAAAAGCAAAAGTAGATTTCCAAATGTATTGTGGAGAGATGCAAGAGAGGTTTTTGTAACATACAGTAGAATTTAAAAAATTCCTATCTTAGACTTATTTTGTTCTCTTTGTCAAAATTTTTTATTCTGTGGTAGCAACTCTCCTCTCTAATACTCTTTTCGTTCCTTTAAATTCTCTAAGTTATTTTCTTAGTTTTTTCAAGCAATTCAGCTTTGCCCAGCTGGCAAAAGGCCACTTAGCCTGCTCATGTGGTCTTCCTGAAGCATGCACCATGGGGATGGGGGTGGAGTGGGGGATGTTGTAGGTAAGAGGTGAAAGGTAGGTAGGGTGGAAGAACAAGGAGTAACTTTTCAAATACCTCATAGGCCCTGTTTAAACTTTTAATGTAGTAAACATGTCCACATCTCGATTCTAGAGTGTTTAACTTAGCGATTATATATTTTTAAAAAAAAAAAACAACTATTATTGAAAACACTAATTAAAATTAGACTTCATTGGTTGTAAGATTCTCAAGCTATAAATCCTGTGACTACATATTTAATTATCTTGAATGGTTAACTGGTTTACTACTTATTATTTTATATGTATTGAAACATTTATTTACTATTGCATCTGTTAGATACTAAGTCCTGGTACAGGGAAGACTAGAAAGTAGTATACTTCACCTAGCAGTTTATACTGTACTGGGGAGTAAATATGCAAAGAAATAAATAAAGCCATGGAATACATGTTAAAATTGTATTTGGAATATGAGGAACTTGGTCCCAGAAGGGTTAATAGTTGAGCTTAATATCTGAAATGGGAGAAGTCGATAATTATAAAGGCATGGCAGTATAAGAGATGGTGGGTTTTGAAAATTATGAATTGTTATCATTTGTTATTTTAGTATCCATATATTCCTGCACATATTACAAAGCCTAAGGAACATAAGAAGTTGTTTCTGGTTCAGCTTCAAGAGAAAGGTAAGTTATTTTGCTTTTGAAGGCAGTCATCTAAAAACTTTATAGAATAATTTCAAGGATATCTCTTTGTGTTTTCTCCAAGTTCCTTGGATTTTGAGATTTATTGTAACTAAAAATACATACCATGTTTATACAGAGTAACCTCGTTTTTCTTAGATGTGCCTGCCATGCTATGAGGAGAAAAGAAAATTTAGAGCCTAAAATACCAGATTATAGTATTTGTAATAATTGTTCAGCTACTGGTACTGTTTTTCACATCATGCTAAGCTGCTGAAAACTTTGAGACAGATTTGATTTAAAAAATAAATAAATAAATAAATAAAATAACCATTTTTAGGCTTGTTATGCTTTGACAAGTAATTATTCCATTTCTTATAATAGTCTTATAATGGAATCCAAAGTAAATTATAAATCCAAGGTTATTCTCTTCTCCCCTTTCTCCCATGGCCAGCAGTTATAAGGTTGGTTGTTAATAGTATAGATTTCTTCAGAGAATCATTTATTTTTAAATATGTGACTATGCACTATAGCTTAAAAGACACAACCAAAGTGTATTAATGAGAGTTATGCTTTTACTTAAAGGTTTTTCTCAAATGTAAAATTGGTGGTTAATTTAAAAATGAAACAGAAGCAGAGGTTATATAAGAGATTATAGAAAATGAATACTGTTTTGTTTATTTTAGCCTTGTTTGCAGTTCCTAAAAATTACAAGTTGGTAGCTGCACCATTGTTTGAATTGTATGACAATGCACCAGGATATGGACCCATCATTTCTAGTCTCCCTCAACTGTTGAGCAGGTATGGAAAGTTGAAACAGTTTGTGGTTCATTCATATAAACTGTCAGTTTTGAAATATTCTGAGCTACTTGAGAAGGTATAGTTCATGCATTTTGGTCTTTAAGGGAACTAAGACTGTAGACGGTTGTGTGTAAGTCATAGATTAACTACGACTAATTAAAAGTGTCCCCAGACTCTAAGTGGGGGCATGACATTCTAGTATTTGTGTGAGTGCTCCTTCCCAAATCTGATATTCTCTACAGTTAAGGTTGTAGTCTTTATTCAAAGAAGAGACGATAAAATAATAGTCAACAATGTGTAAATATGAGGGTAGTCGTCTATATAAAAATGTAGAGAATTGAATGTCTTGGTGTAATTTATTCTCTTTCCATTTTGGAACTTACTGTATTTAGGTCCAAACTGGGGCATATAGGATTAGGTCCCCCGTTTTTACATGGAGTTTGAATTTTTAGGCAGATAGTGATGAGGAATTAATTTTTTAAGAAGTTCACTTGTACAGGTTGAGGCCCTTACAGCCAGCCATAGATAGGAATTGTAGAATAACATGGTGGTTACGAATGTAGATTCCGTGGTGTTTAGGTTTGAATCCCACCTTCAGTACTTGCTGGCAGAGGGTGACCTTGGACAAACAATTATACCTTATTTACCTGTTTCTTCATCTATAAATGGGAATAGAAGTCTCTATTTCATAGGATTGTGAGGACCAAGTGACATAATGCTTATATAATGTTTAGACCAGTGCCAGGCAACTAGTAAATACTTAATAAATGCTAGTTTAAAAACAATTCCAGGCCAGGTGCAATGGCTCACACCTGTAATCCCAGCACTTTGGAAGGCTGAGGCAGGTGGATTGCTTGAGGCTGGGAGTTCAAGACCAGCCTGGGCAACATAGTGAGACCCCATCTCTACAAAAAATAAAAAAAATTAGCAAGGTGTAGTGTGTGTCTGTAGTCCTAACTACTTAGGAGGCTGAGGTGGGAGGATTGCTTAAGCCTAGGAGTCCAAGGATACTGTCAGCTATGATCACGCCACTTCATTCCAGCCTGGGTGACAGAGCAAGATCCTGTCTCTAAAAAAATAAAAACAATTTCAGTAGTGATTTTGTCCTTTTGTGAAAACTTGGTGAGTATGAAATTGGTCTTGGTACTTTGTCACTAATCAAATTTCATCATTTGCTGCTCTTCTTTGGCCTCCTGATAGGTTGTAAGTTGAAGTATAGAGTGTGGGGAAAAAGAGTCGTATTATTCATTGATTCATTCATTCATAGACAGGGTCTGACTCTCGCCCAGGCTGGAGTGCAGCGGTGCCATCGTGGCTTACTGCAAGCTCAAACTCCTGGGCTCAAATGATCCTCCTGCCTCAGCCTCCCAAAGTGCTAGGGTTATAGGCATGAGCTACCATGCCTGGCCCATTTATTTAAATACCTATCTGTTAGGTGCAGGAACTGTGCTGGGTAGTGAGGATACAAGGACGTGTAAAAACTTTTCCTACCTTCAAAGAACTTATTAGTAGATAATTAATCAAATTTACACTCTTAATTTTTTTAAAATGATAAATATTCAACAACACTTTTTTAATGCATAAATGGTGGGACCTGGTGAGAGAAAATTGTGTCTTGGTGTAGAAAATGCCAAACATGTCAAGGGAGGGTAGAAACATCCAGATCAATTTCCTTATCAACTTAAGTGGAAACTATGTAAATAATGCTATTTCTAATAAAGGTATTATTCTTTTTAAAATTCAGGTTCAATTTTATATACAACTGAATTCCTACACAATGGAGAAGTCAAAGAAGCCGTCTCTGTGAGCACAGCTATACACAGTGTAGAAGAATAAATGTGGTAGAAAAGTCTTTTGGTTTTATCTCTTTTCTGATCTCCAACTTGCTGCCTACTTTCTATTGTTTGAATAGTAAAGTTAACATGAAGAACTAACTAGATAGTGGTGTAAGCAAATGTGATAATGTTTATTTACTTTTGGTTCTACTCATTCTTTTTTGTACAACATTAAAGAAAATGGACTTCTTTCTATTTGTATTTTTTTTTAATTTCTCATTAAACTTCTAAAATTCTTACAGGTGAGGATTGTTTTTTTTTTTTTTTTTTTTTACTCCCTTAGGCTGACGAATGTTAAGACACAATATTCTTTGCAGGTTTAGGTCAGTCAGGTTTATGAGACCCTTGCTCCAATACCATTCTTGGGCATATAGTTCAAGACTGTGTTACCTCTTTGTGGTGAGGATCTTCCATTACTTTTGGGAACTACATTTTTCTGTTTGAGCCCAAGCTGCAACTCCTGTACCAAATTTTACACTCTAATGGGTTGTATTAATGTTACGGAGAACTCCCAGTGTATTAACTGACTGCTATGTTTTATAACCATCTAGGCCTCAGTTCACAAGTAACAGATCTTAAACATATGGGAACCCATTAAAATTGGCTAGGTCAGCAAAGCCATAAGAATTGGTATAAAAAGAGACTCATTTAGAGCTCATTTAGAGTTTTTT